AATGTAACAAATTATGCATTGACCTGCATAATATTTTAAAAGGTTTTTTGTTTTGTTTTGTTTTGTTTTGTTTTTTTTTATTTTTGGGACAGAGAGAGACAGAGCATGAACGGGGGAGGGGCAGAGAGAGAGGGAGACACAGAATCGGAAACAGGCTCCAGGCTCTGAGCCATCAGCCCAGAGCCCGACGTGGGGCTCGAACTCACGGACCGCGAGATCGTGACCTGGCTGAAGTCGGCCGCTCAACCGACTGCGCCACCCAGGCGCCCGACCTGCATAATATTTTAAAGTCAATGTAAATTGTAACAGATTAACTTGGAATTATATTTGACTGCAAGTTGTCAAAAGCTAGCCAAACAAGCTTCTACAAATCAGAGATTTCTTTCCTTAGGAAAACAAATTCAAGGGGTTCCTGGGTAGTTCAGTCAATTGAGTGTCTGACTCTTGGTTTTCAGCTCACGTCACGATCTCACAGTTCGTGAGTTCAAGCCCCGCATTGGGCTCTGTGCTAACAGCACAGAGCCTGCTTGGGATTCTCTGCCCCTGCCCTGCTCACTCTCTGTCTCTCTCAAAATAAATAAATATTAAAAATTAACTTAAAAATTCAAAAGTAGGCAGTTGCTGGCATTGATTCTATAGTTCAAGAATGCCAAGAGATACATAGTTATCCTGACCTTTGCTTCGCTGTCTGGAAATGGCTGCTTCAGCTCCAGCTATTTTATCCATATTCTAGGAACGAAATAGTATTGGCAAGGAGAAAGAGTCCATCCGTCCCTACAGCAAGAAAGCAAAACTTTCCAGAAATCACAAGCAGACTTCACTCCTCTCTTATTAGCAAGAACTGTGTTGCATGACCATCTCCAACTTCAAGAAAGCTATTTTTAGCTACAAATCGCTTCCCTGAACAAAATCTTGGTTCTGTTAAGAAGGACAAGGGAAACAATACCTATATGGTAGCAGTGTGTGCCTTTCCAGTTCTCCCAGTTTCCACCATTCCTTAGTAGCTAACACGGTGTCCATCTTCTAAGATCTTCCTGACCCCAGAGGTATCTGAATTTATAGCTGTTGAAAATTCACAGACCAGAAGTATTTGAAAGTGATCTTCAGGGGGGACTGGGCGGCTCACTTGGTTAAGCATCCGACTCTTGATTTTGGCTCAGGTCATGTTCTCATGGTTTGCGGGATCGAGCCCTGCATCGAGCTCTGCACTGACAGCATGCAGCCTGCTTGCAATTCTCTCTGCCCCTCCCCCATCAATAAATAAATAAACATTTTTAAAGACATTCATACTATTTTTTTTAACATTCATTTTTGAGAGAGTACTAGCTGGGGGGGAGGGGGGGGGTAGAGGGCGACAGAGAGAGAGGGAAGACACAGAATCTGAAGCAGGCTCTAGGCGCTGAGTTGTCAGCATAATGCGGGGCTTGAACCCATGAACCGTGAGATCATGACCTGAGCTGAAGTTGGACACTTAACCGACAGAACCACCCAGGTGCCCCAATAAACATTTTTTTTAAAGTAGTCTCCAGCTTCATGGGTTTAGAAACATATCCATTCACGCAAAATTCAGTATATTCTAGAGATCATGCTAAGCAAATCTCAGGATGCCTGCTGATAAGTCATGTTGCCAGTTTTTAGCTTAGCTCTATCCAGCAGAATAAGTGATCGTCCAGGTTGGGCTCCTCCAGGTGGGCGAAGTGCACACAAAGGCTGGTCAGAAGGTTGCTTAGAGGCTAAGATATGATCCATTGAACTGTGTTAGGCCGAACTACCCTTTGTACTCCAGGATGAATTATGACTGCACAAGGAAGGGAAAGGTTCACAACACTCACTGAGCACTTCCCATGTATTAAACCAGGTATTTTCAAGGTGTTTAGGGTTGAATGTTACCACCCTTTTCAAGAGAGGAAACTAAAGTTCAGAGGGACCGTCACAGGCCCGATGTTGCCCAAATAACAGAGCTGGAATTCAATGTGAAGTTGAACTGACTTCATCCCACTACTCCCAAGGCGTCCTAGCTTTTTAAGTGGAACAAAGCAAGTGGCCCTGGCAAAGCCATGTGCTTCCCACTGTGCTGTGCTGCCTCAAGTATCCAGCAGCTCTTCTCATAGAGCTGGACTCATTCTGCTTGACATAATTCTCTGGCCCCACTGCTGAGCTTTATATAGGCACTGGCTTTCATGAACCCATAATTATTTAAATCAGTTAAATAATTAAATCAGTTAGAATACAATTTATTCAGTTAAAACCTTTTTTTATTTTTTTTTATTTTGTTTAGTTACATTCTTCATGCTAAAGATAACTGTAGCCTCCAGGACAACATGACCGTTTCCAGTTCTCAGTGACACGTTTACAAACCGTTTCTGGAGATGGCAGTCTTCTGATGGGACTGCTTTCAGACCCTTACATTGATTTGTGTCATGTCTGTCTTAAGTGATGGCTTTTGGTGGTCTTATCCCCATACCAGTCCTGACCATTGTAAATACTGACCACGTACTTAATGCTTTCGGAACAGAGCATTGGATTTCACCACTTTGTGTTAGGTGCCTAGGCAGAGAAACAATTTACAAATTCATTGTCTATGGATTCTTTAAAATTCATGTTAATGCTCGTTTTAGGACGGGGAATCTCTGTGAATGCCCAACTCCACTGACTGTGTTCATTGCAGGGATCTAGTCCCACTAAAGCGTGAACCATGCCAGCAGGAAACCTTCCTGCCTCGTTACTGCCCCATGTCCCAAGTGCCTATACACAGCACAGACTAGCTTCTCAACACCTAAACATTTATCAGGTGGATAAATGGAAATCCTCACGTAGTAAAGCAGCAGTTGAGAATTAAACATGTCACAGTCTGCATAGTTCTTTTCCGTATAAATATACCTGTGACACTTACTGAGGCTCTTTCTGTACTACCACAAAGATGGTCTTGGGGCACCTCGGTGGCTCAGTCGGTTGAGCATCTGACTTGGCCTCAGGTCATGGTCTCATGGTCTGTGAGTTTGAGCCCCGCATCGGGCTCTGTGCTGACAGCTCAGAGCCTGGAGCCTGCTGTAGATTCTGTGTCTCCCTCTCTCTCTGCCCCTCCCCCACTCGTGCTCTGTCTCTTTCTGTCTCAAAAATAAATAAAGGTTTAAAAAAAAATTTTTTTAAAGATGTTCTTAATTGTCATGAGAATACGTTAATAATCATTATCATTATATTAACCTACAGGCCCTGGGGAATGCTTACAAAATAAAATTGCCAAGCACTAAATCTCAGACAATATACTTTCTCACACATTTCAAACCTTACAAATAAGAATAGACAGAGAAAAATGGAACTAAATACAGCCCCAACAAACACACATTATATAGGAAATTATGTGAGAAAGGTGGCATTTCGAATCAGTGGAGAAAAGATGAATGGTTCAATATATGATGTTGGAGCAGTTAGTCATAAAAAAAAGGTAGATTCTTAACACACCATACAAAAACGTAAATTCAAAATGGAATAAACATGTTTAGCTCATACAAGTAATAAAAAAATATTTGGGAAATATTTTTAATAATGTCAGAATAGAGGAAGAAGGGTTTTACCTACTCCCAGACAGCACACACAGCAGATGGTAAATACCCCCAAATAGAACACCTTGCAAAGGGGCTAAATACATTCTCAAAAAGAAATACTATCATAATTCACAATCCACACAAAAATAGAACATTTGACAGATATCAAGGTCAAAAAACATTTTTCAATAGACTAATAAACTAAATATATAAAAAAAATAAAACTTCCATACAGCAAAAGACATAGAAAAACAAAAGCTAAAAGATTAAAAGTAGGCAAAATGTTGACATAATAGGACAAGGTGTCACTATCCATGATGTGCTACAATGTTATCAATCAAAAAGGGAAAATTATAATAGTAAGGCCAGCAAAGGACCTGAATAGGCAAGTGATCATGGAAAATACTCTAATTCACTTATCATTTTTTAAACGCAATTGTAAATGAGATATTTTCACAAATCAGAACTGATCATTCTTTAGACTGGTGCAACCATGGGAAAGCCAGGCCCACTCAGTCACTTCTTACATCACCAGAGAGCAGCCTGACCAATATCTTAATATGCACTGGCCTGGCTGTTCAAGTCATAGGAAGTAATCCTCCAAAAACGCTTGCACAGCAGTACGGGTGTTCGTAGCAGCATTAGAATACCAGTGGGTTGAAAGCTATCTAAATGTCCACAAATAAGGAATGGTTAAATAAATTACAGTACTTCTATGCAATGGAACACTTCTATGAAGCCACGGTTCTAAAGAATGAGGTAGGTCAACAATGACTGACATGTAAAGATGCTGCATAATGCGTCATTGATTTATGAAATAGTACATATTGAATGATCTCAATCTATGGAATGTTTCTTAAAATGATATATAAGCAAAAAGTGTTTATATATTGTACCTATCATTAGGGACTGAAAATATGGGGCATTCACATTTTAACCACAAGTGGTCATTAAATTCCCTCTAAACTTATTTTGCATCTACGGTCCAAAAAGATTTCCAAGCCCTAAAAAAAATTATTATTTGAGAAATGGCCTCATTTTTTATGGGAACTGTATGCTTCCTCCCCAGTTCTCCAAAGAACCTGTCCAAAAATCAAGTGGGTCCAGACTCTGTTCTTTCCCTGCAGCAGGCAGTGGAATCTCCTCTGCAGAGTCCTATGTCTCAGGAAAATTAAGATCCAGGATGACTTTGCATGACAGTGTTACTCTTCACTATGTGGGAAGACAAGAACACACAGCAGCAGCTAGTAAATATATTGTGCAAACCCCCAAAAGACTCCCGGAAATAGGCAGAATACATTCTCAAAAATGGATCCTATGACAGTTCACAAACCACATGAAAATATAAATATCCAATATTCCCATAGGCCCTGCCAATGAGATCCAAACATCAGTTCTGCACTGTCTTTACTGGCCACTGAGGAAGACGGAGACCAGTCAGGCCAGCAATCCTTACTAGGTACCAGAAGAGATGTGGCCAGTTGGCTCAAGGGTTGTATGGAGATCCATCGGCATTGATGGCCCAGAAGTTATGGTGACTTCCTCATTCACCTCCAAAAAAGCACCAGTCTCTTTGGGAGAAGTGGATTTCTTGTTATGGCAGCCTTCTTCACAACGTGTGTTCTTTTTTCTGTGTTCATTCTTCAATCTCCTCTTGTACATCTTGTATGCTAGGTGTTAAAACATACAAGTACTAAAACATCACTTAGCAAACACTGTAATGTAGTGATATTGTGTACTTGTCAACACTTTGGGGCTATGTTTGCTTTGGGCCATATATGTGAAAATACACAGGAAAAAGAAGGAAAAAAAGAAAGGAAAAGAGATGGAAACAGGGGGTTCTGGTTCAAGGAGGCAACATAAGTAGATTCTGAACTCACCTCCTCCCACAGACATGCTAAACGCCTCTGGGAAAAAGCCCAAACACTGTCAAAACAACCCCACTGCATCAGACAAATGAGAGAGAAAACACATGGGAATGAGTAGGAAAGGCCAAGTTATAATCTTGTCAGAAACCCCACCCAGAACCCACCCCCCACCCCCCCCCCGAAGCCCCACCCCAGACAGGGCCACCAAAATCAGGAGGGAACTCAACACATGGAGCTTCTCCCTCAGGAACAAAGGACTCATACCCAACATCAGGTACCCCAACTTTTAAGACAGTCACCTGAGAGATGAGCTCCCAAAACATCTGGCTTTTAAGACCAACAGGTCTGGTACCCATGAGAACCACAGGGCTGTGCTGAATGGAGGAACTGTATGCCGACTCATCTGCCCCAGGGCCCAGCCCAGAAGCAGCCCTTTGAAAAGTGCCCAGAACTTTATGTGGAAGAGATTCATTTCTTCATTTTACAGCATCAGACTGAGAGGCAGGAAGAGAAACAGACATCCAGGTCCAGAAAGAGAATTTCAAATAAGACAAACTCAAAGAGAGCTATACCAAGACACATTATAATTAAAATGTCTAAAGTTAAAGACAAGGAAAGAATCATAAAGGTGGCAAGAGAAAACAACTTGTTACACATAGAGGAACCCCCTCTGAGGGTTGGCAGATTTTTCAGCAGAAACTTTGCAGACCAGAAGGAGTGGCATGATACATTCAAAGTGCTGGGAAAAAAAAACAAAAAACAAAAAACTCCCAACCAGGAACACCCTACTCAACAAACTTATCATTCAGAAGCAGAGGTGAAATAAAGAGTTTCCAAACAAGCAAAAGCTAAAAAAAGTTCATCAACACTTACAACTAATGTTAAAGGGACTTTTTTAAGCTGAAAAGATAGGGTGCTAACTAGTAACAAAAATATATATGAAAGTATAGATCTCACTGGTAAAGGTAAATATATAGAAAGGTAGTGAATTAATCACTTATAAAGTTAGTATGAAGGTTAAATGACAAAAGTAGTAAATATAATTATAGCCACAATAATTAGTTAAGAAATATACAAAATAAAAAAAATGTAACATGTGACATCAGAAACATAAAACATGAAGGGGGATAAAAATGTATGGCCTTTGAATGTGTTCAAACTTAGGTTGTTATCAACTTAAAATAGACTTTTTTTTTTTTTTTGAAAATTTATTTTTGAGAGAGAGAGACAGAGCACATGCAGGGGAGGGGCAGAGAGAGAGGGAGACACAGAATTGGAAGCAGGCTCCAGACTCCTAGCTGTCAGCACAGAGCCCGACAGGGGTTGAACTCATGAACAGCGAGATCACGATCTGAGCCAAAGTCAGACGGTTAACCAACTGAGCCACCCAGGCATCTCTAGACCATTATAAATACAAGTTGTTAAATGTAAGCCTCATGGTAACCACCAAGAAGAAACCTTTAGCATATACACAAAAGATGAGAAAGGAGTCTAAGTACACCACTGAAAAAAGCCATCAAACCACAAAGGAAGAGAACAAAAGAAGAAAGGAACAGAGAGGAAATACAAAACAGCTAAAAAACAATGAATGTCAATGTCAGTAAGTACATGCCTATTAATAATTACTTTAAATGTAAATGGACTAAATTCTCCAAAAAAAGACACAGAGTGGCTGAATGGATTGAAAAACAAGATCCAGGGCACCTGGGTGGCTCAGTTGGTTAAGCATCCAACTTCAGCTCGGGTCATGATTTTGCGGGTTCATGAGTTCAAGCCCCACATCAGGCTCTCTGTTGTCAGCATGGACCCCACTTTGGATCCCTGTCTTTCTCTCTCTGCCCTTTCCTCAGTCTCTCTCAAAAATAAATAAAGATTAAAAATAAATAAATAAATAAATAAATAAATAAACAAACAAACATTTAAACAAACATTAAAAACATATTTAAAACATTTAAAACATAAAAAAACTATAAAAAAAAAAAAAGACCCATCTCTATGCTGCCTACAAGAGACTCACTTCAGTTGTAACGATACACACAGAGTGAAAGTGAAGGGATGGAGAAACATGTTTCATGCAAACAGAAAACAAAAGAAAGCTGAAGTAGCTATACTCATATCAGATAAAATAAACTTTAAAACAACAACTGTAAAGACAGACAAGGACATTAAATAGTGACAAAGGGGTCGATCCAACAAGAGGAGATAACATTTATAAATATATATGCACACAACATAGAAGCACCTAAATATATAAAGCAAATATTAACAGACTGAAAGAGAGAAATTATCAGCAATATAATGATAATATGGGACTTTGACACCCACTCACATAAATGGTTAGAATGTCCAGAGAAAAAATCAAATAAGAAAACATTGGCCTTAAATGACACATTAAACCAGATGATGTCAACAGACATATACAGAACATTCCATCCAAAAGCAACAGAATACATATTCTTCTCAAGAGTAGATAGAACAGTCCAGGACAGATCATATGTTAGGCCACAAAACAAGTCTTAATAAATTTAAGATTGAAATCATATCTAATATCTTTTCTGACCACAGTGGCATGAAACTAGAAATTAACTGCAAGAAGACTGGAAAATTCACAAATATGTGGACACTAAACAACGTGCTACTGAACAACCAGTGGGTCAACAAAGAAATCAGAAGTGAAATAAAATACCCAAGACAAACAAAAATGGAAATATAGCATGCCAAAACCAAGATCACAGAGATAGGCATGAGCCAGAGGCAGGGGTGGGGGGGTAGCAGGGTGGGGGATATCAGTGAAGGGAGTCAAAAGGGAAAAACTTCCAGTTATAAAATACATAAGACATAGAGATGCAATGTACAATAGGTGACTATAGTTGATAACGCTATTGTATAGCTGAAAGTTGCTGACAGAGTAAATCTTACAAGTTCTCATCACAAGGGAAAAAAACTCTATGTATGGGGCAGATGTTAAATGGACTTACTGTGGTGATCATTTCATAATATATACAAATTTGAATCATCATGTTGTATACCTGAAACTAATATATTGTATGTCAATAATACCTCAATAAAAAAAAAGAGGAAACAATGGAAGAAAATCATTTGATGTATCAAAATGGCTATTTTTATCTGGAATGGACCATTTGTGATTGAAATATTCATCAGGTTATTGATGGCTCATCCATTCAGTCAGTCAGTCAGTTAGCAACACCTGTGGAATGCTTCCTGTGAGTCAGATGCTCACCTGGGTGCTGGAAGATACCTGGGAATGAGCCAGACATGTTCCTCCCCTCACAATCTCACCAAGGAAAAGGAATTAAAACTTGGATCTAAGACCAGGGAGATTTATTCTGCTAAGATTTATCTTATTTTCTGGTAAAATTCAACCCCAAGTATTCCTTACATTGATTGTTATATTAGCAATCAGTATATAATCAGTTATACCAGTAATCTTACACAGGACCTATTCCCTGATAACAGTGAAAATTTACAATGTCCCAAGATTAAAATATATGTGTGTATGTACATATCTATGTCTTTTTTAATTTACTTTCTGTGAACCTACCTAATTATGGACTCTAAAATGATGTATATTTGGCTGTATGGATAGATACATATGATATATATGTATGCAAATATGTATTTCAATATCTGTGTATGTATTATATTTCATAGTTGAAAAATATTTCACAGCCGTTCAGAACAATTCTTGCTCACAGAAGCATTGTGAAATAACTTGGCATTTGGAAGACCTCATGACTCTTGATGAAATAGAACAAATGTCATTTTGAAGATAAATTATTGCTCATGGAGACTTATCAAGTCCTAGAATCTAAGTTCTAATAGTGCATTGTCTTTTATGAAGCATATTTGTTTGTAATTATAAGCTCACTATCACATGTTTTTAATGTTTTTCTGTGAAAGCAAAGGATCTTGTTTGTGCTCTTTATTTTCTCCAGAAATGTCAGGCTAAAAATGTATCACAAGAGTTGCACATGCATGTTCAGATTGAAAAAGAAGTTTGTGGCTTGGGTTGACAATTTTCAATCACATCTACACAGTGGAGGCTCTACTCACCTGCAACAATGAGAAATCCATCCAACAGCTGGAAGAGTCCATAGGCCAGTGGGAAGCTAAGCATCTGGACCAACTGCTTGGCAGTGAAAGATAACTGGAGCATGGTGACGCACATCTGAATATTCTGAGCTCCAGTTTCTAAGGAAATCGTCCTGCATCTACCAATGAAAGAATTTTTCAAGAGTTACATGCTAGAATTAGGACTCTTCTTAAATTTTTCTCATATATATAGCAATAAATGTAAGCTATGAGCTTAGACCACTAAAATTGTTTACTCGCAGGGCGCCTGGGTGGCTCAGTTGGTTAAGCCTCCAGCTCTTGATTTGGGCTCAGGTCATGATCTTACAGTTCATGAACTCGAGCCCTTCTTCTGGCTCTGAGCTGACAGTGCAGAGCCTGCTTGGGATTCTCTCTCTCCTTGCCTCTCTGCCCCCAAAAACATCTACTTGTTTCATAATAATGTGCTGAATGTGCCTGTTTTGTAGGTGGTCTTCTCTCCAAGAGACTCTTTGGAGCAGGACCCCAGGAACCCCACCCTAGGAATCAGGGTGGAAAGACATGATATACACACAGGAAAGGCCCAGTAACAACACAAGACAAAATATGATGGAGGGTCAGGGAGATGCTATAGAAATTCATAGAAGTGGCATAAATGGTTAGAGAAGGCTTCACAGAGGCAGAGGGGAATGAAAGGGTGAGGGTGGGAGAGGCATTTCATATGGGACAGTGACTGAAATTAAAGATCCAGGGACAGGTATGACCTGCACCTACCAGGAGGCGGTGTAAATGCTGTAAGCCAATCTGTGTGGAGTGCAGAGTTGGAGATGAGAATGGAAAGATGAAATAGGTAGGAAAAAGTATAAGCTCAACAACACTTGAAGGTAAACACAAAAACCCTAAGTGAAAACCAAATGTCTAAAACTCTTTGGTGAAAGAGTTTAGGAACACGTTTTTTTCTTACTTTCTATTTTTCTGTATTTTATTGATTTCCTAGTTGGAAAAAAAAAATTCAATAAACCTCATTTGAAAAATAAAAACCAGGAGAAAGTAAAAGGAAGACATAAGCAGGACCTCAGGGGCTGGGTAACTGATTTGTCTGTAATTTATAAAGGGGGTCTGCAGGTTTCTATAGATGGAAGTGAAGATGGAAAAGAGGTGTTTCAGAATACAAACCAGCATCTCGATGCAAGTGGATTTGGAATAGGGAGGTAACAAGGAGAAAGTAATATGGGCATGAAAACATTGGTACGGAGCAAGCTCTACCGCTCTTATTTTATTTCTATTTACTCTCTTGCTTGCTATGCCTTCTTTAGACCAGTCTCATTCCTTTCAGACCCCTGTCAATTACCTGACATGATTAAGCTGCAAAGGTGGACCTCACATCTGGACCATTCACAAGGCAAATGCAGTGTCTCCATTCTGATCTTTCTCAAGCCATCAAGTATGGAGAAACAAGATTGTTAACTACACTTTGCCATAGGAATACTTTCTCTCCAGATCTGATTATATTTCAACCACTCAACAACCTGTGTTCCTAATTATTGGCTTTGCAAACAAACTCCAGGTCAAATCCTAACTCCACCACATTCTGGCTCTACAAACTTAGTCAAGTTCCTTAACGTCTTGAAGGATTTGCTCATCTGTGGAATGAGGGTACTAATAGTAACTACTTCTCAGGCTCATAGTAAGAAGTAAATGAGATACCATAAGCAGAGCCTCACTCAGTACCTGGGATAATCCTAAATGCTCTCCAAGTAGACTAGAAATAGATTTCTTCTACAAAATAAACATCAAAACACACACCACTTTCTATTCTCTTTGACTTAAATCAATCTTTTAAGCATTTTAATTTCCCAAACTCCACCTTCGAAGTTCAACTACATAGCTCACGTTTCTTCAATAATTCTTTTCTGACTTTAGAGATAGTACATACTCATCGAAAAACTCAGGAAATATACCAAGAAAATATTAAGAAACAAAAATTACTCTTAATCCTACTACTCAAAATTAAACACTCTTAGCATATGGTATATTTCTTCCAGTATTTTTCCATACATAAAATTCTTCTGCTTTCTTCTACAAGGTGGGAATCAAAATGCATACTGTTTCCTATTCTCCTTTAAATTTATCTTTTAAGTATTTCCCAGAAGCATTAAAATTGATGCATCATAGTCCATCACGTAGATACCTCATGAATTAAATATCTCCCTATTGTCAGATATTTAAATTGTTTCTATTTTTTATATTTATAAATAAAACTGCAATTAACATCCTTGCACATCAATTTTTGTGTGCTTATCTGACAGTCCTAGATCCAGGACAGATTTCTAGAAGTAAAATCACTGAGTGAACAGCTATAAATATTTATAAGGCTATTGATATGACTAAGTTGCCTTCCAGAGAGTTTATACCAATTTACATTCCCTCCAACAATTCATCTCCAGACATAACAACATGGAGTACTATCATTTTTAATATTTCACAATATTTATAAATTATATGCCCCAGCTTGTAATGACAATGTATCAGATACATTCCCATCTTATATCTCCAGTTTGCCCTTCCTCCTCTTGCCCCTTATAATTAGCACTTTTACAGAATTTGGCACAATGGATAAATGCTTAATCTCGAATTTTGCTCATGCCCTAGAATGATCTCTATATTTAATGAAACCATCTCACCCCTATCTAATTACTAGGATAAGAAGAGAAATGTGTCCAGATTTCAACATGTGGTGTTAACACCCCAATCCTAATTTCACAGATTACAATTTCCCATCACTCCAGCCTTTGCTCTCATTTACGCAGGAAGTACCATGATCTTTTCACTCTATGAGGAGTCATCCTGTTCCATCCACCTTGTAAGTCAAGATTCTTAATGTCTCCTGACATAGCCTGGCAGCAAAGCCTGCCAGTGGCAGTGTGTTTACTTTAACTTCCTCAAAAAAAGTGTACGGATAATTTCACTGTACCTCTGCCAAGATTGGTGGGTAAGAAGTGCCAGCAGAAAGCCCGTGACATGGCCAATCAAAGGGAAGATGAAACTGATGGTCAGAAGAGTGATGTCTGAATTCCAAGATCCTTTTGCCAACACCACACCAGCAACTGCAACCACCAAAAGGAGGACCCCACCAACAATGGCCCCAATCTAAAGCAAACCAATAAAATAAGTACATGTAAACATCATGTTCTCTCAGCTCTATGATGCAAAGTCCATCACTGCTTCTAAAAAGCTGGGAACTGGGGCGCCTGGGTGGATCAGTTGGTTAAGCATCCAACATTGGCTCAGGTCACCTTGGGCTCTGTGCTGACAGCTCAGAGCCTGGAGCCTGCTTCGGATTCTGTTTTACCCTCTTTTTCTGCTCCTCCCCCACTCATGCTCTGTCTGTCTGTCTGTCTGTCTCTCTTTCTCTCTTAAAAATAAATAAACTTCAAAAAATAAATAAAAATAAAAAGCTGGGAACCTAGAAGTTTTGGAACAAAGACAGGCCTTACCACCAAATCCAATCTCATTTTATAGAAAAGAAACCTAAGTTCCAAGGTGGTCAACTGATTTGGCTAAACTGAAAATTCATGGGGCTCAACATGATTCCAAATCTTATTTTAAGATTAGTATTTTTTCCCTGGAAGTAGATTTTGCCAGAAGGATTGGGGAGTGGAGTTTTTCAAGGATAGGACAAATTTGTGAAATAAGCAAAATGTAACAATAAGCCTCCACCATCCCTACACACACTTCCTAGATCCCTCACTGGTACCCTCTTGTCTAAGATTTGTCTTGCCTGGCCGTCTGCCACTCTCTTCCTATCACTTCTTCAACTACCAATGGATTCCTACTGCTTTCATCCCTGTTCTTCTCTCCTCCAAATAAAATCTACCCATTCTTTACTAGATAATCTGGGCTAATATTATTGGAATAGAGGTACTAACACATACCTCTTCCCTCTCCCAAATGAATACTGTTATTACTTTTGTTGTTCAACAAAAAAGAATTTCCAATAGTTTGAGTTTTAGATCAGATGGAGAGAAAGCCAGACCTAGAATGTTTGGAGAAAATTAGGATTTTGACAAGCTCCCATTCCATGTAGACCATAAACTATAACCTAGTTATAGCCTCAATCTGGATTTGAAATGATTCAAGACGTGGAGGAAGGTGGTCATGGGGGAGCAGAACAAAATAAAAATAACCCAATGCACCAGAGATGTTCTCTGGGTTTATTTTTACTGGTCAAATACAAAGACAGACTGGGCCTCTGCTTAATGGGAAGATGCCGGAACACACAAGAAGACCTACAGTTGTCAAAATCCTTCTCCATCTTTCTATCAAAAAAGGATCTCAAAGTTTAAAAATTCACCATGAGCAATTTGTTCAGAAAATGTATCAGATCTAAAATTAAAAGAGGACCAAGAACAAACAATGAAAATATATCAAAATAATAATTAGATTATTCTAGTTTTTTACCAAGGAGCTCTAGAATATTTATGCTTATTATTAAATTTTTTTCTGCCAAAAATCCTATAAAACAGGCAAAAGAAAGGGGTTTTAGATCTGCTCTTTACAGATAATATAAGTGACTACAGAAAATTTATCTTATTTCTCCATTGACACTGAGGGACTAATAGAGGATCTGGAAACACCAAAATTGTAGGGTTTTTTATTACAGTACCTAAAAAGTACTAATAAAATAGAGTACTTGACAGTACTTCATCAAAAATAGAGTATTTGAAAAGTAAGAGGTTCCCACTGTTATACTCTGTCCTCTTATTTTGTAAATAAAATTATAACCATACATGGCCACATTGGAAATTTTCTCCTACTGAAATAACAAAGTCACCCACTGACACGCAGTCGAAATGTACAACATTTAAGCCTTCCTCCAGTTCTCTGTGCTCAATTGATTTGTCTGCTTGTCAACCCCTCTTCCCGCTCTTGATCTCACTGGAGGAACAGTGAGAGCTGTTCAGTCTTGTGCCAAAGTGAGAAGGCAGCACCCATTTGTGCAGACAAGTAGAGGGGCAGCACTCCGTCAGGGGGAGCCAGACAGCAGGAACTTACACTGAACCAAACCATAAACCCCAAACTAATATGACCTGAGATGTATTTGTTGAACCTTCAGTTAGCCCCAAATGTTTATTTCTTTATACATGTAAAATATAAGTAAAGCATTTTAAAAATCTTCATAAAGCAGCACATAATGGAATCTCACATCTTCTAAAATGATACATAATTGTAAACACTGAAAACACCCTAGGATATTGACACCTTTGTTGAGAATGCCTCGAGATTTAAAAGTCATTTTTAGATATTTTTAAAAGTCATTTCAGAGATATTTTTAAAACAAGGACATTTGCTTGTTTCTCCAGCAGACAAAAGCCAATGCTGGAAAGTCAAGAGGAGGTAGGAGGTCCCAGTTACCATCATTCCATGACCAGACTCTTCAATGCATTCTGCATTTCATTCTGACAGCTTTTCATGTGGTCAGCAGCCACAGTAGTTGTTCATGTGTAGAGACTACAACATCAAAGCTTCCCCAGGAATGCTTCTGAAAAACAGCCCTACTTTTTCATGAAAGCAGCCAATACTCTTCAACACCAGGGCTCTATTGCATGCACACCTGAGCAGCTTTCACCTCAAGAGCACTCATGTGGAATCTTGTGAATAGATGGGCTCTGGGTTCTCTCTGGCCACACATAGGCCTTGGCTTTCCTGTCAACTAAAGCAAAAGTCCCATTCTTGACTGTGTCCATAAGCCTCAGTGTATGGGCCTATGGGAATGACAGAGGATGGCTGAGAAGAGTGGAGGAAATATGGAGGTTAGATCAAAAAAAAGCAGAACTGGGGCGCCTGGGTGGCTCAGTCAGTTGAGCATCCTACTCCTGGTTTCAGCTCAGGTCATGATCCCAGGGTCATGGGATCAAGCCCTGCATCAGGCTCCAAGTTGAACATGGAGCCTGCTTGGGATTCTCTCTCTCTCTGTCTCTCTGTCTCTCTCTCTCTCTCTCTCTCTCTCTCTCTCTCTCTCTCTCTCCCTCTGCCCCTCTCCCCCCAGACTGCCTCTAAAATAAAATTAAATTTAAAAACAAAAATACAAAAAAACAAAAATTGCTGGGTGTGGGATTGTATCTGACTGGCCAGTCTGTTACAGTCATTGTCTACATCTGTCTTTCCAGTGTCTAAGTCTAAGGATACATTAACTGCCATGTGGAGCTGCTTACCTTGAGAATGATTTTGGATTGCTTGGGCCACCTATAGTTCACATAGATACCAAAGGCCACAGGGATGGTCAGGCACACAAGGGTGATTCCTGGGGAGAAGAAAAATCCATCAGATGATATCTCCTCTTACCTTGACTTCCCAGTCCTCAACAATTTCTATTTCAATTAGATATAGGCTTTAATTAAAGCTTCATTTTAGGGGTGCATGGGTGGCTCAGTTGGTTAAGCATCCCACTTTGGCTCAGATCATGATCTCATGGTTCATGGGTTCAGGCCCCACACTGGGCTCTGTGCTGACAGCTCGGAGTCTGGAGCTTGCTTTGGATTCTGTATCTCCCTCTCTCTCTCTGTTCCTCTCCTGCTTACACTCTGTCTCTCTCTCCCTCTCTCTCTCAAAAATAAATAAACATTAAAAAAATTTTAGGCTGCATTTCATTTCTGCATCCACCTCCAAATATAAAGAAAGAAAAAATCTTTGGAAGACAGTCTTTGAAGGGTATATGTTACCACTGAATGCCACCATTCTTGTTCCATCATTTCTCTCTCAAAATCCCCCTGACAATCACATGGAATTTTAGAGACAACCAGAAATGTAAACATTAGAAAACAGGCAGACTCGGCAAAATTCTTTGGTTGCTATGCATGAGGTCACCTCTCTACGACCACAGCTATTACTTCCCTATGTGAAGCCAATGGGCCATTTGTTTCGCAAAGTAAAGAATACCTATTGCAGATATAAAAAAACAGCATCTGTTACACATACCAAAGAATTTCTCATATTCTGCAAGTGTGGCCAGGTAACCTAAAGGTGGGTAGGAAAAAAATGCCTTTTAATTAACACAAATGAGTAAAGGCATTGAAGGCAGGCTCAGGAGAGCAGAGGCCCACTTGCCAGCAGGATCCACACACTAACCTTTTCCAGTGCTGTTTTCCAAATCCGGCCAAATGCCTGCAATACTGGCTCCAAAGTTACATGAGTTGCTCATAATATGTTGGGTTTTAATTGTTTACAAGTGCCTTTTAGAATGTATTATCAAAACAGAATATGTTAATTTACTGATCAGAATAAGTTGTGCATAAAATCACGATTTCCTAAACTAGGATTTCACTCAAATTTTACAAATTTAATGGGCTTCAGCTGTCATTAGCACATGTTTTTCAGCTATGGGTCATGGTTTGTAAAGCCCTCCAAGTGATGACTAGAGACTCCAGATTAACACTTTAGACTTTTAAGAATCATAATTTCTGCCAATTCTCCAAAAACTCTGAGCAAACGAGGATAGCCATATCATTTTACCAAGGTTTCCTTCTAAGCCTAGTAAGTAAACTGAGATCTCTAGGGAAAGGGCAGAGTTTAATGAGAAATGACAATGAGGAAAGCAGATATGGAAGAGATATGGATACAGTTGTGACCTGTGAATATGCTCTCTAATAATCAATAGGAATCATTCATGCTGGATCGGTAAAGATATCAAGATTCACAGGCCATGTGAAAGGTGGAACTGTAGGAACTAAAGTCTCATTAGACCCACTGTGATCCAGTTAACCAATGGCATTACAGTGAATTATATATGGTGTTTTTGTTTTTGTTTTTAATAAACAAGTTCTCTTTCTTTATTTGCAAAAATGAACTCTTGCAGTGTTAAGAGCTTGGCTTTGCAGTCATATTCCCAAGTCAGAATTTCAGTTCTTTGCTGACCAGCTGCACATTCTTAGCGAAGTTAATTAACCTCTATCATCCTACAAATCTAGGAAATGGAACTACTAATAGAATCAATGTGGAAGTGTTATTTAAAGAATTAGATCGTTTATTTTTTATTTTTTATTTTTTTAGAGAGAGAAAGAAAATGAGTGGAGAAGAGGAAAGAGGGAGAGAGAGAGAATCTTAAGCAGGCTCCACATTCAGCACGGAGCCCAGTGCAAGGCTCAATCCCACAATGCTGGGATCATGACCTGAGCTGAAATCAAGAGTTAGATGCTCAGGAACATGACAAGGATGTCCACTCTCATGGACATCTCTGTTATTCAACATAGTGTTGGAAGTCCTAGCCTAAGCAATCAGACAACACAAAGAAATAAAAGGCATCCAAGTCAGAAGGAGAAAGTCAAACTTTTACTCTTCACAGGTGACATGATACTCCATGTGGAAAATCCAAAAGACTCCATCAGAAAATTACTAGAACGGATACATGAATTCAGCAACATCGCAGGATATAAAATCAATGTACAGAAATTGGTTGCATTTCTATACATCAATAATGAAGCAGCAGAAAGAGAAATCAAGGAATCAATCCCATTTACAATTGCACCAAAAATACCTAGGAATAAGCGTAACCAAAGGGTGAAAAATCTATACACTGAAAACTATAGAAACTTATGAAAGAAATTGAAGAAGATACACAAAAAAATGGAAAAACATCCATTCTCATGGCTTGGAAGAACAAATATTGTTAAAATGTCGATACTACCCAAAGCAATCTACATATTCAATGTAATCCCTGTCAAAATAACACCAGCATTCTTCACAAAACTAGAACAAATAATCCTAAAATTTGTATGGAACCAGAAAAGACCCAAAATAGCCCGAGCAATCCTGAAAAAGAAAACCAAAGCTGGAGGCATCACAATTCCAGACTTCAAGCTATACTACCAAGCTGTAATCAAGACAATATGATACGGGCACAAGAACAGACACATAGATCAATGGAACAGGATAGAGAACCCAGAATTGGATCCACAATCATATGGCCAACCAATCTTTGGCAAAGCAGGAAAGAATATCCAATGGAAAAAAGACAGTCTCTTCAGCAAATGGTGTTGGGCAAACTGGACAGCGACATGCAGAAGAATGAACCTGGACCACTTTCTTACACCATACACAAAAATAAACTCAAAATGGATGAAAGACATACACGTAAGACAGGAAGCCATCAAAATCCTAGAAGAGAAAACAGGCAACAACCTCTTTGACCTCAGCTGCAGCAACTTCTTACTTGACATGTCTCCAGAGGCAAGGGAAACAAAAGCAAAAATGAACTATTGGGACATCATCAAGATAAAAACTTCTGCACAGCAAAGGAAACAATCCGCAAAACTAAAAGGCAACTGACAGAAAGGGAGAAGATATTTGCAAGTGACATATCAGATAAAGGGTTAGTATCCAAAATCTATAAAGAACTTACCAAACTCAACACCAAAAAAAACCCCACAAATAATCCAGTGAAGAAATGGGCAAAAGACATGTCTTCTTTTCCAAAGACATCCAGATGGCTAAAAGACACATGAAAAAATGCTCAACATCACTCCTCATCAGTGAAATACAAATCAAAATGACAATGAGATATCACCTCACACCTGTCAGAATGGCTAACATTAACAACAGATGTTGGCAAGCATGTGGAGAAAGAGGATCTCTTTTGCACTTCTGGTAGGAATACAAACTGGTGCAGCCACTCTGGAAAACAGTATGGAGGTTCCTCAAAAAGTTAAAAATAAACTACCCTAGGACCCAGCAATTGCACCACTAGGTATTTATCCAAAGGATGCAGGAGTGTTGTTTTGAAGGGGTACATACACCCCAAAGTTTATAGCAGCACTATTGACAATAGCCAAAGTATGGAAAGAGACCAAATGTCCACCAATTGATGAATGGATAAAGAAGATGTGGTATATACATACAGTGGAATATTACTTGGTGATCAAAAAGAATGAAATCTTGGGGCGCCTGGGTGGCGCAGTCGGTTAAGCGTCCGACTTCAGCCAGGTCACGATCTCGCGGTCCGTGAGTTCGAGCCCCGCGTCAGGCTCTGGGCTGATGGCTCGGAGCCTGGAGCCTGTTTCCGATTCTGTGTCTCCCTCTCTCTCTGCCCCTCCCCCGTTCATGGTCTGTCTCTCTCTGTCCCAAAAATAAATAAAAACGTTGAAAAAAAATTAAAAAAAAAAAAAAAAAAGAATGAAATCTTGCCATTTGCAACAACATGGATAGAACTAGTGAAATAAGTCAGTCAAGGAAAGACAGATATCATATGATTTGACTCATATGTGGAATTTAAGATACAAAACAGATGAACATAAGGAAGGGAAGCAAAAATAACATAAAAACAGAGAGAGAGACAAACCATAAGAGACTCTTAAATACAGAGAACAAACTAAAGGTTGTTGGATGAGCGGTGTTGGGTGGGAGGAAGAGCTAAAGGGGTGAGGGGCATTAAGGAGGAGACTTGTTGGGATGAGCATTGGGTGTCATAAGTGATGAATCACTAAATTTTATTCCTGAAATTATTATTATATGTTATCTAACTTGGATTTAAGTTTAAAAAAAAATTTTTTTAATTTTTTTAACGTTGTATTTATTTTTGAGACAGGGAGAGACAGAGCATGAACAGGGGAGGGTCAGAGAGGAGGAGACACAGAATCTGAAACAGGCTCCAGGCTCTGAGCTGTCAGCACAGAGCCTGATGCAGGGCTCGAACTCACGGACCGCAAGATCATGACCTGAGCCGAAGTCGGCCGCTTAACCAACTGAGCCACCCAGACGCCCCTAAAAAAATTTTTTTTTAATTTTTTTTAGAGTTGGACACTCAACTGACTGAGCCACCCAGGCTCACTATCCAAGTAGTTTATTTTAAAATCCACATAAAGGAGGCACATAATAAACAATGGCTATTAGTATTACCATCACCATTACTATTACTGTTCCATTTCACAAGCCCAGTACAGACCTATATTCTGATATGGAATGGTGAGATTCTGCTCAAGATTCCAGGACAAGGTGTAGAGATACAGGCAGAGTGGCATCATTCCCAGGGCAGCCACAGTGGAACAGGTCGTCATAGTGATGCTGAAAGTGAAAATAAAAGGATGCATAAGAGGAAGAGTTTGAATGATGAAGTCCTGACCAAAAGCAACTCCCAGAGCATACCTTAGAGATCACATGGGGTGAATTACTTGAAGCTCACTCCTATCTTGTTATTCAACAAATGACTTCATATGTGGCCCAGAAACAGATTTCCAGCAGTATTTGACATTCATTAATTAACCCCTATTTACTTAAGAATCTACTTGTTCTAAATGTTCTGCCAGGTCCTAAAGGGTTTTTTTCTTTATAGAGTTTTTTCTATTGAGATATAATTCATAGACCATAAAATCCATTATTTTTAAAGTGTTTTCAGTATATTCACAAGATTGTGCAAAAACATTATATATTTCTATACTTTTTTCATCATCCCAAAAAAAAAGGAACCCCACCCTCATTCTCTTCTCCTAGCCACTGGCAACCAGTAATCCACTTTCTGTCTTTATAGGATTTCCCATTCTGGACATTTCATATGAATACAATCATACAATAGGTGGTCTTTTTGGTGTGTCTGGCTTCTTTCACTTAGCATAATGTTTTTGAGCTTCATCCACATTTTAGCATGTATCAGTACACCATTTCCTTTTTATGACTGAATCATATTCCATTGTATGGATAGACCACATTATTTCTGCCCATCCACTAACTGATAAACACTTGAGGTGTTCCCTCTTTTTGGCTATTATGAATAATGCAGCTATGAATATTTGTGCACGATGTTTTGTGCAGACATATGAAATCAATTCTCTAAGGTGTATACCAGGAGCAGAATTGCTGGATCGTAGTTTAATTTTTTGAGGAAATGCCATTTTCAAAGCAGCTGCACCATTTTACGCTCTGCCATCAATATATGAAGGCATTCTGTTAAAAATTTTTGCACAAATATTCATGAGGGATATTAGTGTGTAGTTTTATGTTCCTGTAATGTCTTTGTCTAATTTTGCTACCGGGAGATGGGAATAGGGCAAATTTGCCACAAGACTAAGTGTTTGCCCAATGTGTAGTGCTATAAATATCTGTCAGAAGAGGGCATCCAAATACCACATGCCCTAAGTTTCCCATTGGATAGAGAAGGGACCCCCACAGCACAGATCCTCAGAGCAAGCTGGACAGAGCCAGCGAAGTTACAAAACCATAGCAAAAAAGAATTGATATGGGATGCTAGACTAAATTAAAAGTTCTCTTTGGGGCACTTTCATGGCTTAGTCAGCTGAGCATCCAACTCTTGATTTGGGCTCAGGTCATCATCCCAGGGTCATGGGGTCGAGCCCTGTATTAAGCTCCACGCTGAGCCAAGAGCCTGCTTAGGATTTTCTCTCTCTCTCTCCCCCTCTGCCCCTTTCCTCTGCTCACTCTCTTCTCTCTCTCTCTCTCTCAAAAAATTCTCTTTGAATTCTAATATTGTATAACCCCATGATTATAGATAGGAATTGAAGCAGAGTGATAAAGTAAGATTTCTAGACTTCAAAATGGTGGTGTGATTGACAGAATAAGTGGTCACTTAGCATCTGAGAGGACATGTTAAGTTAGGGATGACAACAGAACATCCACCAGAAATATCCCAGGTAGGCAAAGGAAAACTCAGGACCGCAGCTGCTGTCCATCACTAGACACACAAATCCGGCCATCTTGGGAAGTGAAATGTAGGTGCAAGAGCTGAATGAACCAAATCCAAACAGCATGACAATAGCCAAGCCACACAACTTCACCAGGAAAACAAAGGTGAATGATCAGAACAGAGTTTTGGTCTTTGTTGAACAAAGCTGGGATGATTTCTGATAGACAACTGGGTTTGTTTATCTCTGTCATTATTGAGATTATCTCCAAGTGAAAAAGATAACAAAGTGCTGTGGGTCTGGAAGATTTGCAAATACTTAATATCTAGAGTAAAAATCCATCAGTTTAGAACCTTTAAAGACTCTGTATCTTGACTACTGTACTTTTATTGCATCCTATCAAATGTTATCGCTTCATCAATTTATAATATGTTGTTTCTATTTTTTCTGACTAATAAAGTCTTGTTTTCCAAGTCTCTACATTTCTTTTTTTTTTTTTTTCAACGTTTATTTATTTTTGGGACAGAGAGACAGAGCATGAACGGGGGAGGAGCAGAGAGAGAGGGAGACACAGAATCGGAAACAGGCTCCAGGCTCCGAGCCATCAGCCCAGAGCCTGATGCGGGGCTCGAACTCACGGACCGCGAGATCGTGACCTGGCTGAAGTCGGACGCTTAACCGACTGCGCCACCCAGGCGCCCCTCCAAGTCTCTACATTTCTTAATTGGAGAACAGAACTTAGTCACACATTAAAATGCATAGCTTCAGTGCAAGGGGTAAAGCATGCATAATGGGACCAGGGGCATGGGGAGCAGAGCCGTGGAAAGAGCTCTCCTGCTTTGGACTGGGGCCAGAGAGGGGCCACCGTGCATGTAAAGAAAGACAGAGAAGCGAGTGGAGAGCTAGGAGATTACATTCGATGAAAGCTGAGAAAGGAGAGACTTCAAATGTAGGCTAAAAGCCAAAAGTAGATCAAAAAGGATGAAAACCCAAGAAGTCCACTTAGGACCATCCAACCTTCCCCAGTGTTTTGTGCCTCTACCCCAGAACAATCCTTTCCTCCACTCTACTCCACCCCCAGCTCCCAAACCCAAGCTGCCTTTTGTCCCTGTCTGGATGACAGAACCAGTGAAAGAATAAATCAAAAGGAAATGGGTAAATGGAAATGAGAGATCCTTCAGGCCAACAAAATATTTTCTAACTGATGGGGAAAATTACACAATCTGTCTAAACATGCACAAACTGCTTCTAGACACTGTTAACGCTGCTCTATTCAATGAGGTGAGGCAAATGGAGCATCACATAACACAACCCGCGGGAAAACAAGAGTTTATCCACCTCAAATCCAGGTCCAGAGTCTGGAAACTTCTTAATATTCATTGTTTGAGTTCTCACAGCAGACCGCTTTGTGCAGGGTATATGTCCAATCTGTGTCCGTGGCCCAAATGGCCAAGAGACGGGGAGGTGAACCACCTCCCAGCCCACCAAGGAGAAGGAGACCCTCTGCAGGGCTAAGGTCTTCTGCAGGGATAACAAGGGTCCTCCAGCACTTCATCAGGCCTTCAAGTCACCATCGTTCTTCCTCATAATACAAATCACCAATGTTTCCATCTAATTACCTTGCCTACAAACCATCTATGATTATTTTGACATTTTCTACCAGAGTGTTTATACTCTTGGCAAAGCACCAACCGCTCTGTTTCAAGGATATTAAAAATACTCCTCTGCATTCTCTCTCATTGCTGATGAACTTGCAAAATGAGATACTTTGACAATATAGATAAATTACACAGGGGTTTACCCTTTAGCCCAACAATGCTATAGGTTATGGGAATCTATCCCTAGAATGTACTATCAAAACTATGAAAAGACACGTGCCCAAGGTTATTATATATGTATTCAATATACGTTTTCTACCTGGCAATCTCTGGCAATAGTGTTCCAGGAGAGTAGAAGTGGAAACTGTAAAGCCCCTTGAAGCTTCAGTTTGGAAGCAATAGGGCATCACTTCTGTGTCATTGTATTAGTCAAAATAAGTCACCAGACCAGCCCAGATTCAAGGGACGGGGAATAGGTGCCCCCGTCTGGATGGGAGGATGAACCTTATCACATTACAAAGGAAGGTGCATACAAGAATGGAAGGAATCTGTGGCCATATTTTGCGATCTATCAAAGACAAATACTAAAATATTCGCAGTCAAAATAATACGTGGAGCTGGCCTCAAAAAAAAATCCATTGGGTAAGTGGGGATAGAAATGAAATGAGATGGATCATAAGTTAATAATTGCTAAAGCTGGGTGAAGTATACCAGAGGGTTCACTATTCTTTCCACTTTTATATATATTTGCCACTTCCCACAGTAAAAAAATAAACAAATGTCCCTTCCATCTTTGTGGGAGACTCTATATCTCCCATAGTGATAGCAGTGGGAGACTGCTATCAATCTGGTGATTCAGGACTTTCTTGTGTCATATTTTATGTTGAGAGGCTTTGTTGTAAATCTAGTATAATGCATACACCGGCATGGGGGTATCTAAAGCATCTTCTGCCCAACCCTGGCTGGCCTTGGGCTTTTCCGTCCTCAGTGCTGCTGTGTGCCTCTCTGTGCTTAGAACATTCATCCTTGAGGAACAGCTCCCATTGCCCTGTAGACATTTTTATTTGCATTACCTCACATACTGTACCTTACATAAGTGCTTGTTTACCTATCAATGTGTGGTACACTTATCAACTCTGAGTTGCTTAAGGGCAAGGACTATATTGACCTCCACACCCATAGGATCTGGCAGTCTCATGCTATAGCATCTTGGAGGAGCTCATTAAATACCAAATAAATGTATAAATCAAAGAATGAACCAATGTATCAAAACACTGGTGCTAGGACAATGTTCTCTCTGCTCTTCCTCATATGTCACATATCTGCAAGTGAACGTTGCAAATCTTAGTGAAATGATCCCTTTACACTGAATTGCAATGGTAAACATCCCAACCGTAATCCAGGAACAGAAATTTTCTATTAAAAAATAACTAAAACCATGCTTTCCCAAGTTCAAATGTGAAAAGCATTTTGAGGAGCAAATATTTAGTTGATTGGAGTCCTTTTCAGAAATCCAGACTTAGGTAACTCACAAGTGATTATATATTTCCCTTCTCCTCTTATTTCTTTTAATCTTCTATTTTCTTTTTAGTCTTCTAAGATTTTCTTTTATGCAGTCCTATTTTATTGCTGCTTATTCAATGAATAGAGGCTTTTTCTTTGTTTCTCTTTGAAGCAATCACACAATGCACCTTACTCTGTAGCTTTGTTGCTTTTTTTAATCCACTTAATCATAGGTAACCCTTCAGGACAATACATGAAGCTTAAACTCATTCGCTTAAAGAATGAAGAGTACACCATGATCTAAATATGTCATAATTTCTTCAATCAC